AGCACCTCTAGTAATATATTTACTGAGAAAAATGGTGACGTGTTCAATTCTTATTTTACCCGCTGTATACAGACGTGGACGAAATTGTTGGTACCCTTCGTTTAACGAAAGAAAAACCCACAATGGTCACATTTAATAACTAGAACAAAAACAATAGTAAATAAAAGTTATATGAAAATGAACAAATKAATGTCAGATATTACTTTTCAGCCATGCTTATTAAAATAAAACAAAATTCATGAAACGGGCCTGGACAAAAATGATGGTACCCCTGAACATAATGTGACYAAAGGGACATGTTAAATAAATATATAGTGTGTCCACTAATTAGCATCACAGCTACAATTTTTTAATCAGTCATTGGGCCTRTATATAGAGCCTCACTAAGCAGTTTGGTGATGAGTGGACCACACTCAACATGGACCAGAGGAGATTAGAAAGAAAATTATAGACAAGCACRTTAAAGGTAAAGGTTATAAGACCATTTCCAAGCAGCTTGATGTTCTTGTAACTATTRTTCWGAARTTTAAGATCCATGGGACTGTAGCCAACCTCCCTGGATTACAAATCAAAGAGACGGATAATAAGAATGATAACAAACGAGCCCAGAAAAAACTTCTAAAGAGATTAAAGGTGAACTTCAAGCTCAGGGAACATCAGTGTCGGATCGCACCATCCGTTGTTGTTTGAGCCAAAGTGGACTGGGGAGACGACACTAAATTATTAAAAAAGCCAAACTACATGTTGACAAACCACAAAGCTTCTGGGAGAATGTCCTATGGACAGATGAGACAAAAATGGAMCTTTTTAGCACATCAGCTCTATGTTCACAGAGGGAAAAATGAAGCCGATCAACAAAAGCACACTGTACCTGCTGTGAAACATGGAGGAGGTCTGTTATGTTCTGGAGCTGCTTTGCTGCATCTGGCACAGGGGGTCTTAAATCTGTGCAGGGTACAATGAAATCTCAAGACTATCAAGGCCTTCTAGAGATAAATGTGCTGCCCAGTGTCAGAAAGCTTGGTCTCACTCGCAGGTCTTCAACAGGATAATGACTCCATGTGTGTAATAGCGTACACAAGTTTTATTCAGCAACACTACAARCATGTTTTTTAAGTTTTGATTTTGCCAACCTTACATTAAAATGCCTCRTGAGGCATTCTTTTAAAACTTCAGTAAAAATATCAAGTTTTTCTTACTTTTGCCTGCAGAGATCCCCCTGCAGTGTAAATATAGGCTCCAGTCTGTGCGTTTTGTTAGTGGCATCTTCTGATTTTACACAAACACGCATATCTGCAGAAACGATCATCTGTTGCTCACACACTGCAAACTGCTGCTTTAATTTCAGAAGACGGCTAATTGCAATTAGGATGCACRGGACGTTGGAGCTGGTAAGTAAAAGGAAGTAATCAGCGCTGATTATAGAGCCAGAGCCTGATCAGAGCGAATCGTGCTGCAATGTCTCCCCCTCTGCCAGCGGCCATCCAAGTCAGAAGTGAAAAAAAAGGAACGGAGCTCGGGTTTTAGCCTGATTGTGTCCACGGAAGGAGGAAGAACTGATTCTAGCTCTGTGACAGATTTAAAGGGATTACGGCTCATATGACACAGGAAGGCAGGCCTATTCATGAACCGCCTGCAGAAAAATGCACACAAAAAAACCCGTTTTATAGGTCAAGAATGAATCGGCCCAACATCGCCGCTGGGTTGAAATTAATGGTTTTCTTGCTGGTTGCTTTAATTTATGAACGCTTGTTTGTTTTGGAAGCTGCTCCCTGTTAAATCTTTATTGTTGCGTAATAAAAGCAGTTCACGTATGGAAGGAGAGCAGCTAAATGCTTTTTAAGGCCTGCTTTTGGGGAATTGAATCAGCAGACTTCAAAGGAAATCAACTTTATTATCAATTAATCATTTCTTTTTACATGGTGGGTTAAAAATGACTTTCAAATACATTTCGAATGTACACAAAAGTAGATCATTAAAACAGTTTAACTGTTTGCAAACATAATCTAAAACATTTTAGTGCATTTTGCCTGAATAACTTAATAAAGCAACTGCAAATTTTGATTTTTTTTTCTTAAAAAAACACGATCAAACATCAAGATCTAACAATTCTTGATTTATTTTACTGAAGCAGCYGGTCAGTAAGTGCCCTTGATCCAACAGCAACGTTTGGTTTTTGTGAGCAGAAAAACACAAGTTTACCTCATAGTTTTTTATATTTACAGCACATGCTGGGATTCTGAATCCCATCTGCATCTTCAAGCTTTCTGAGCATCAGTGAGCTCTCAGATTAGGAAGCATCAGATAAAGCTTTGGCTCTAACTTTTCCAAACTGGTGCAGACAAACAGGAAAACAGCATGTTACCATTGTTTAACCAACACTGCCACCTAGAGGATGGCACAAGTACATTGTAATTGATYGATTCTTTCCCCCCTAAAATCATGTTAAAACTTCATTAAATTTACTTTAAAAAGCAAAAATCAAATGAAGAAAAAAATAAAGCATAAGCAATTAAAATATATAACAAGATGCTGCTGCAACACTACTTAAAAGGTGCGTAAAAATTCTTTAAAAGTGACTTTTAAGGGAATCATCCTGTCTGGATGAAGTGCAAAATGTTCAGTTAAAGTTCATAATGTTACAGCTGAGTCTTCTGACTTAAATGAAGCAGAGGAAACTCAAACCTGGAGCATAAACAAAGCAGCCTGATGAGTAACAGATWTTAGCGCACAGCTAACTCCAGCACAAGTAAGACTCAGGATGTGTGGAGGCAAGTTTTCAAAAGAGGCTCTCAGGAATCACTTACCTCATCACACTAYAACTACTCTAGAGGTTTAGAAATGAGATCTGAGCTTTAATCAAATAAGTCAGGGTGRATGCTGAGGCCGTACTCTTCAAAGTTAAAGTCCTCCACCACGAAAGAAACATCTTTCCACTTCTTCACGGTCTGCCTTCCCTCTGGAGTCTCCAGGGCAAAATTTTTAATGGCTAGCATCGGCAGCAGGAGGCAGTCTTTGTATTGGATTTCAAATCCCCACTTCTGTAAATTCACACAGAATTAAAACATGAGCACAAACAGCTGCATCACGGACTGATAGCTTTGTTAGCTCCAGTGTCCAYGGTACCTTGTTGCAGTTGCCATTATTACAAAGGACCGTGCATCCAGGCTCCCAGTCCTCGAAGGTTTTTGACAGTGTCAGATTTTCGCCACGTTTGTAATAATTCCTGGGAACACATAAAAAACAGATTCAGGAAAGAAAAGATGTTGTACTTGAGCTTCACTTTTTCATTTTCTGTTTTCACAGAGGAGCTGTTTGTCAGCATGTTTGACTTCTATCACCCAACACTGATGTGAGGCTACGTTTCTCTTTTTTTTCTTTCAGAGAATCCACAGAAACATATGATGCTAACGTCAGACTCGGCCCGTATCGTTACTAAAGTTACTGGATCGATTTAAATTATCTGTTATTTTAGATGAATTTGCATTTATACTTCCACTATTAAAATGAATGATAAAAAGACCTCCATTTGTTATATTAATATCATTCAATTGCTCTTCGTTATAATATTTGCAGCTTTATTTACAGGAAAAAAATTGAATCAATCATATTATCTACATTAAATATATTAGACTCTGAGTCTTCGTATGTAGTCATATTTTAGTGTGTGTCCATTTATCCTTATAGTTTAATTCCTTTTGTACCAATTTGTTTCAGTAATTAAATTTTGAAATTTGTTCTCTCCTGAACCTACGGAGCCCGCGAGGGGACATGGGAGATTTTTTTCTTTTGCGTTCCCACGCAATACCTTTGCGTTCCCACGCAATACCTTTGTGTTCCCACGCAATACCTTTGTGTTCCCACGCAATACCTTTGTGTTCCCACGCAATACCTTTG